TGTAGCAAGCCCATTCCATTAATGTATTATTTGTCTACACAACTGTGTTAATTTCCATATGAGTATGATTGAGCGTGTGTCTGCACTTCTATCCCTATTCTATTCCCCATTGGTTGTGACACATAGATAATCAATAATTTATCTACACTTGATTGATACTCAAAGATATATATGGATCTTTTAACACAGATACACACACTTTGATTTTTGACTCACTCGGTGCTTGCTTGCTGTATGCTTGCGGACTTTACCAAGCTTTCACAATAAACTATCTCTATAACTGATTTTTGGGCTTTTTAATGATCTCGAGTAAATCGATAATTCTACTAGGAGATTAAGCCTGTATTAAATACTCGGTTAATGAGATATCTTTATTTGGAGTCGAATATAGAGGAAATTTATCTCAACAAACTTTGTTAACCTCTACAAGTTCCGGATAATGTTGACAATCTTCTCAGGAACTCCGTAGTGTCGAAGAAGTTTCCATAACGTCCTCCTATCTACACTGTCAAATGCCTTCTCATAATCAATGAAGTTGATGTACAGTGACGAGTTCCACTCAATTGATTGTTCGACGATGATCCGTAGTGTCGCAATCTGGTCTGTGCACGACCGGTCCTTACGGAATCCAGCTTGTTGATCTCGAAGTTGAGCGTCAACTGCGTCTTTCATCCTGTTCAGTAACACTCTGTTGAAGACTTTACCCGGTATTGACAGTAGTGTAATGCCTCTGTAGTTTTCACACTTGCTCAGATCTCCTTTCTTTGGAATCTTGATGAGGTGTCCTTCTTTCCAATCCATCGGCACTTGTTCCTCCTCCCAAATCTTCTTGAATAGAAGATGAAGCATGCTTGTAGTTACTTCGATGTCTGACTTCAACGCTTCAGCTGGTATATTGTCAGGTCCTGCTGCTTTCCCGCTCTTGATTTGTCTGACGGCCATTCTGATTTCTTCTGTCGTTGGTGGATTGACATTTATAGGAAGATCTGTGTGTGCTGCTTCGATGTCCGGTGGATTCATTGGAGCCGGCCTGTTCAGGAGTTCCTCGAAGTACTCTGCCCATCTGTTGCGCTGTTGTTGAATCTCAGTAATTGGTCTTCCTTCTTTGTCTTTGACTGGTCTCTCTGGTTTACTGTATTTCCCTGCTAGCTTCGTCGTATCGTAAAGCTGTCTCATATTTCCTTCTCTTGCAGCTAGTATCAGTATATGCTACGTTCAATAATCACCAAATTGATGTTAAAAACATCAGAATATTTCAGAAATGTTTTTCTAACTATAAAGAGAGGCGAGTAGCCGGAGAGCTTCACATAATGCTAAATTCCTATGTTCTCGATAGGAAAGAAGGCTTGAATATTCATGCAACCTGAACCGTTTATCTGAACAACCACATGTGACCTTATTTATTTTCCACACAATCTACATACACACACACACACCTGATTTGAACCCTACTACTTCATATTACAAATGCCTACATTTTCGTACCCATTTTCTGAAACACAAATTAATACAGTGGCAGGTTATACGAATTCACCTTGACCAAGAATAACTTCACACTGATATATTCAGACCAAAGATGGTTTAGATTGTACTAAAAGTATTCTACATTGTTTCATTTCTACTATTTAAGCTTATATTAATTTATTTCGGTTATTTGTTTTCTTTAAAGTAGTGGCTTACATTATGTTTGAACATCAAAAATACAATTTTTTTACTTAAAAAATATATTTATTATTCATGTGAGAGGACTAGTTCCAACCAGCAAAACCGATTACGTTGATAAACTGAACTCAGTTTTAGATGAACTGACTAAATTTCAAAATCATAGTCACAGGATATAAATATGCAAGCAAAGAAATTACTGATCAATTCTTTTCATGAGTTGAAACATAAAACAATAATTACTTCAACCATTCATGATTCTCATAAACCTACGAAATCGATTAAACCATGAGTCTGCGGTTTACCCAATGTCTGCAAGTCAAGATTTCCTGCTCGTGTATTTTTAGATGGGTATAATTCTTCACATCGTAAAAGTGCACAGTGGGTTGAACGGAACCTGGGACCCTTACACACCTTAATCGTTAACAGAAGAGATAAATAAGTTCATGATTTCGCTTCGACAGTAGAATGTCTCAGTTTGTGTTAAACGTATGACATGTTTAGAAGTTGCTTCCTTGTTTACCTATTGTCATTAACTGTATTAGTTAGATTTCTGTGTCGACAGCTATTTGAAAAACATATCACTATTGGAATAGTCGAGGTTAGTTCAGAATAATTACTTCTAAAATGCACAGTGAACGTTCATTTTGTCTCGAATTACACATATTATAGACAAATTGATGGAATAGTAATGAGTTGAATTCTGCTCCTTATTATAGCTGATCTGTTCTCTCATTAAACCAGAAGACAGATTATTGAAAGGATTGACTATATTGCTGTTACGTTGATGACACACTGATTATCATTGAAGTGAGCAATGAAAAAGAACCCCCAGGACAATTCTCAGCATAAATTCAGTAACCAGTTTTACCTATGGGAAGGAGGTGGTCGAAAAGTTATAATTCATCGGAGTTTTGTTGAAAAACTGGATATATCAGAACGAGCATGTATAGAGGAAGTTCATCTGCATGTCAGTAAACACTTTTATTCAACTTCCTATCCATTCGTTACGAGAGAAATGTAGTTAGCTGCTCCCCACTTAGAGTCATAACGATATGTCGATACGACACAACAAACAAAGAACCACATTTTATACGTAATCTATTGATTAAAATGTACCAGCGTCCAGGTTTTCTAAATCAATACATGCACACAGTGGACAGAAAGGTAGTAACATAGGCTTTTGGTAAGAAATTTCTCTTTCTAAAGATACAATTCAACTGAAATACAATTAGGGATCCCTTCGAACTCACTCAGTATTTAGTCTATTACCTTTGAATATACATAGTGTTCTGCATATAATAATTGCAACTGCTCTCAGCATTAACATATAAATGATACAGAAAGGTGAATAACAGCACAGACTATCGGAAGCTGACACCACTTTCTTTCGGTTCATCTGGACAATGAATATTTTAGTAAGCAAATATTTATATACTTGTTATATGTTAACGTGTTGGTAATGTGAATAATATATCATATTACTTTTGTAAATACAATTCTATTTTATGCTTCTCATATGTTATTTAATTTCATAAATTTGATTCTCATTATTCTTCACACAAATTGGCGGTCCTCTTCATCTTTCTCTATACGTACAGCAATTAGTTATCAAAATTTGTAACACAATGTCGCCTATAATTATTCATGCAGACAATTATTGAAATAAGTTCATCTGAAGATAATCTAACACGTTACACCAAAGCAACTCTGAGTACGTAATCCGATCAATCTTAAGCTTTTTGTGAAAATTCTTACTTTACTATTTTTTGTGTCATTATTCTGGATTTCGTGGGAGTTTTACTTCATGTTTCTAGACATGAATGATACGGCCTTTGCATTTGAACACTTATTGTGAACTCTGTCTTGTTAAAAGTTTGCTCGGGTTGTAATTTAAAATGATTCTCGAAGCATTTCCTGCAGAGGAGAACATCTATGACAAAAGCATGTATAAGGATTCGACGAAGTCGCTGGTATTGCGATTTTCGACAAATTTATACTAACTTAGATGATGATCTGACATTTGAAATAAACAAAAATGGGTGTGTAGTACGAAGTTTGTTTATCCAATCTGTTAATCTTGACAAATTTTCGCATTACACTAGAATATTCTGATTAAATTTATAACAAGATCTCTATAGAAGGCTCTCATAATCATAAAGGTTATGTTTCTTACGTTCTCTGTCCTTATTCTCGCCAACTCTTTTGTGTTTCGTTTTATTCTACCTAATAATATTCAGTGAATAGTATATTCACAGCAATTTCTACGCCCATGTTGTAACGCAGTTTATCGTGTAATATTCTAAAATAATTACATATACTTGTAACATTTATTGTGTTCATCATTATAATTACTTTCTCTCAATCCCGATAACAGTTGTTCTCAGTTTTGTATGGTCGTTTAATCTTTGCTTAGACGCAGTGGTTTCCATATTCTAGTGGCTGGATTAATGAGTCGATTCAAGCTAGATCGTATTTGTTTGTTCTTAGTTCCGTGTTTGCTTGTTGATAAACTGTTATCAAGACTAGACACAGCTTTCAGCTGTCATTCGCACTACTCTATGTCATAATTATTCTTAATTATTAATGCAGGGAGCCTTTTTCAGACTTACAGACGTTCTAAGCCCCATAGATATTTCATGAGTTGAGTTTTGTAAATAATATATGACTATTCCTAAATAATGGACCTCTTTCTAGACAAATCTCTGTTTTAAGAACTATGGTTTCGCAAGTAACTCAATTATGTGAATAGACGCTTCGATAGATTTAACAAAGGTATTACTATCAAATGCAATAGTTTCTGGTGTTTCATTCTTAACATAACAAAATGAAAGCATTTGGCCGGGACTATAATTTATGGACAAACCAGTCAGATTTCGGATAACAGGTCTCGGATTTTGGCACGAAATTCATTCGCCCATTTGTCTAAATGGCGTCTTGGAATTTTAGCTTAAGTCAGTTCGTGATGCAAACCCTAAATCTAGTTCGTAACCCTAACCATCAGCTGTAAATCATAATTCCAATTCCTCCGACTGCTTTATAACCCTTATTTGGCCCTAGTAAGTAGGTGGACATTCCCAAGATCACTTTAGCGCTGCTCAAAGGCTGCCCATAAATTATAGTCTCATCAGCAAATACATTTCCTGATATAATTGGGCATATCTATACAATTAGACAGAAACAAGCCGCTTTTCGTTTAAGTATTATATTTTTTATCAATAATCTACGAATAAGCTACGATATTTATGACTAATCTACATTCTTTCGAAACAGTGAAGAAAATGCACATACACTGATTCCTTTTCAATCATACTGTTGATTACTAACTTTTGATAGTCTTACCACAATTTACATTTTTTCAAAGGATTCATTGGTGAACCAATTGGACAGTCATATGCTTTAGCAAATTCTTCAATATTTGACAAAGCACCTATCACCCTGGAAGATTATAAAGAGAGAAATCAACGCGACATATTTGTAAATAATGGAACTATTCGACCTGGAATCTAATTTTGTATAAAGACTACACATTTAAATATCCTTTGTCCAGTCCTTAACACCAAGAGAATATTCACTAATCAGTACTATTGTTTTTAAGAACTGGTAGTTTTTTCAGTGCTTTCTAGCTTTTCTAAGTTTGTCAATCCATGATCAAATGCAACCTCACATGAAACTCATATTCAGAAACATCTTCAAATTAAGCGTGTTTCCATGAGCATGATGATAGTAATGATTACAATAGCTTCATTCAGAGATGAATTGTGACTAGTAGTGGAATCCAAGACTCATGAACTGTCCTAATATCTAAGAGGATAACTCGATGGTGTTGGAAGTGAATGGTACTGGAATGGAGTCTCGAAGTGCACATCAATTTTGGGATGCAGATTCATCCAGATGACGACGCCGAAATAGGATGAAACGCGCGTCCTAGATTCCACTGCTAGCCACACCCATATTTGCTGATAATGCGTGTGACAAATTGCAATATCGAGGCAATGCGCACAAGATGAACATTTTCCAATAAGAGACTGATCAATTACCGTTCCAAACAAGCGATGCAAAAATGAATTTATAACTTATTTCATTATATCAAATTTTGTTGCCTTAACGAAGTCTCTGGATCAGTTGTGCAACGTCACTTATTTTCAGTATGGAGAGTTTTTGACCAGTTCAGGTGCTATAACTATCCTTTTTTTCATTGGATACGTCAGTATATATGTCTCTTGTTTTACGAGAGCTTAGACTTGGAGAAAAAGATCACAAGTACAGAATTTCAGTTTGAGATTTTGCGCATATTGTATCGCTCTAGTTTGTAAGTCAGCCATAAACCGCGTAAGTGCACACAGTTATTATATATGATTATTCGGCTTAAACAAATCTAAAACAACAAGGTTTATTACGATAATCTAACAGTTAGAAAACAGGTGGGCCAAATGTTATGGTGAGTCGTCAACTAAGTTAAGTGACTTGACAATGATTTTCAAGTAAATCGATTTGTGTAAATGATCAGAAATGCTATTTCTGAACCCAAAATTACAGATCTGTTTCTCGAAATGTTAGGGTACTTGAAATTAAAATACCTTCTGACTGATTTCGATAGAATCCATAAGTTATGTCATAGTGCTACTACCCATCAGTTTTATCCCAATTTTATTTTTGATATTTATAATGTTACTTGACTTCCGAAAAAACAACCATTAATATAGTACTCAGTATACACATAAATTCAACAGTGCTTTAACCATTGTTGGTGTTATCACTCGCCATAAGTGTGGGATTAATTGCATCATAAGCATTCGGTTGCATGCAAATTATAACATTGAACAGTCATAAAACATGCCTGAAAAGTTCCAAAGCTTACCTATACTGAGGTAGAATGTGATTAATGTTATATTTGTGGTACGGTTGTGAATCCTTATGTACACGGCCACATAAAGTCTATATGTTTTAATTAAACACAAAATACAAAATAACATGTGACCCACAATCCCATTTTTAAATTACCATGTTATGATATTATATTTGTTATTATTCACATTACTAGTTATATGATCAACTAAGCATCATTGGTAAAATGATAACTACACTATTGATTGCAATATTTGCTTCAATCATCACTGAGTTGCTTGAAGCATATTTTGAATGAAAGTATGTAAAAGATAAACATATTTCAGAACATAGAAAACGCTTTTACTTCTGTCAACAACGAAGAACTAATCCACTTTACAACTATAACGATTTTAAAGTATACAAGAAACGGGATACCCATGCTCGGTAGACAGTCAAAGTAGAAAATTTACGGTCAGTGGTGCTTCATTTGATCTACTACCAATAATAGTCTACAAAATATTGATATATTTTGTATCAGTGAATAATTTTATTAGAAAAGTTTCATGACTGTCCTGGCAATTACCAGGTCAAATGACTGATTAAAATGATTTTGAATCACTTCCACGGATTATTAAATATAAGGTTGATCATTGTCAAAGCTCAAATCTAATGAAAAAGAATTTCTTCATAATCATTAAATCCACATACAAAAGATGTGCTCAAAATCGGAGTGTTTAAATACGTTTAGAGGATCGTTTCGTCACTGGTTAATTTCATTCAAGAGAGCGTCAACTAAAGGACTGTTATTCGAGAGAACACAAATTTTTAAAATGCTAAATGAGCATTCAAAAATCAATGGAAAGGGAAAAAAGTGTGTTTACAGTGCAGTTTCTTAACTGAACAAGAGAATCTTAAGCATACATTTGTGAAGTGCATATGGTAGGTAGGCTGACATTTTACAACTTGATAAGTTTTCACGATCGGTTTGTGTCGCTCCGCATTAGTTTAGTTTTATGATTCCAAACAAACAGAGCACATGATAGAATGTTATTAATATATATATGTCTATTAACATGACACTGAGTTAATCATCCTAATATTAATTTCGATTCCCAGTGGACTAAATATTTTGATTGAATACTATTTCCTAATCAACCTTTTGTTAATTTGATTATCATATTTATTTGCTAACTGAAAAAGCAGTTTAAAATAAGTTGTGAAACATTTGAAATTCTAATTTCAATTAATCAATTTATCACAAATACACCACGATTTTATCATTACAAGCCTGTAATGTCTTCTTCGTATTATAATTGAATAGTTGTAGATTTTCCATATACTAATCTCTTGTAAATTGCATGTAAATTTTAATAATTCCCACTTCAAATGCTGTACACAAATAAGGGGACATATTGACCAACTTACCTGTGCAAATCTCAGGAAAAATAATCTGTCGGAAGTTAAGATTTCGCTTGAATTTTGAACACGTTGTCTATTTTGCAATTTCCGGTATGTCTGAAAAGTGTTTGGAACAGTCACATGAAACATTTATCATTCATGACTAATGCATTGGCAATATCATATAGACAATCAATCAGTGTTAACATTAATTTCAGTTGTCATTTAGTTCAATTAGATTTTATTAACCTACTTGTGTTTATCTAGATTTTTGCTTGGATAGCTATCTCAGTTATGTTATCAAATGCTAAATTACTGGTGGATAGTATGACGATTAAAATCTCGAATGAATTGAAATAAATATGTAAATCAGAGAGGTGATTTCCGACAGTGAATGGTATCAAACACTTGTTAGCTTCGAAACTGGTTTTCAGTGTTGTAATTAGAAGCCTGACCTGTGAAGTTAAGCATGTTTGGAGTAAGGTGATCACAGAATGGTAATATCGGATTACTACCATACAAAATCATTAACTGGCTGGATTTGAGGATCGGTCTATTGCTCAACAGTTCTAATGGTCATTAGAGAAAACAGATGAATGGATTTCAGATTTCAAAAGGAAATGCTGAGAAACATTCAATTTCTGCTTCTGAAACTAGTAGCTCGTAATCACAGCTGTGTTTCAGTACTGTTCATACTGTGAACTGATGTTCCGAACTACCTATCTGGAATTTGATATAAGTATTAATTTTTACGGTCACAAATTTAAACCTTATGTCTTGTAGTGCGATACTACATCGCCATATGATATTTATATTTAATTTATTCACATACATTGTACATTATTTTCAATCCTCCATTGTCAGCCAAAATTTCATTCCGCGTCCCAATTCTATCGCTCTAAATAAGTTGAAATTAGAGGAAATGAGGAATATTTATCAAGGTTTCTGGTGAATTAAATTGATCATTTTGTTTTATTCTATTTACTACAACTGATGAGACCACTCGGATTATCATGGATTCACTGGACTCATAAATAAGTTGTTAAAATGGAAAAAAGTATTCTGCTAGAACTATCCACAGTTTCATTGTTGGATGATTGAACAGATTGTTTCACAAAACAGCAATGGATTTGTGTTAATAATACATGAACCGGTATTAACTATCACAATATTTTATGATTATTTCAACCGCAAAGCAGCAGGAAATGAATTCTGGATCAGGCAGTTCCCACTCTACTGAATACTCGCCTACAATGTTGATTTTTATTTTAGTTAATTAATTTGCACTTAATATAAATGATTTTTTGCTGAAACGATAATTATTCTCCAGCAACAAGTAGACAACATTGGTTATGTTTTACCCTTAATAAGCCATTCTCACTCACAAATGGTAACTTTGTAGTTCTTACTACTGTCAGCCACTTTTATCTGGAAAGCTCTTCAGCATTAGTGACTTATAATATGTGAAACATGTGAAGTATATTATCACTTACCTTCATTGAGTACGATTTGAATTTTCAGTATTTTGAAACTTGTATTCTGTTGAAGTTATTCGTAATAGTGCTTACCAAGCACCAACACAACATAAAAATTTCTAAATTATTTCTTATGCTTGTAAATATTCACACCATTTGAATGTATCTGTTCCGTGACATATACACATGGATTACCGTGCTGAATCATTACTATTGTAATTAATATTCCAGACTAGCTATGGTCGGACAAAAATAGGTAACATGCGAATTTTCCTATGCGTGTTACGAACCTGAAAAAATTGACTTCGTTGAACAAAAGTTACAGCTTTGAAATAAATTCCTTAAGTAATCATTTCGTTTGAAGAGGTTATGTATTTTGAAAACTCTAGGTAAAACTTTAACTGAAATTCTCAGAGTATTGGGTAAAGCTGAAAGAATTTGGAATTTCCTGGAAAAAACTTCTATGAATATTTCACTAAACTCAATCGTCCCTTCTGAAATTAGTATTTTTCACTAGGTAATGATGTGAACCCTTTATGTAAATAGTAATTATCGGTTTAAAGGCTTATTGTCAGGAAACACCTACCTTTTCAAACGAATCAGAATGGTTTTTGTAATGAGATCGTAGACAATCTGCTTTCTTCATATTCGCAATCATTCCAGCATAAGACTCCTTAGCTGGTCGTTGATCCCCATTAACATCTTCGAGAACACCTTATATTTATATAGGAATAAGTGAATATATTCAAATCTGATTCATTTTTATTTATAATGTGAGAATTTCTTCCTATTTTTATAGAGTTATGAATTGGTTATGTTTGCATTATAGTACAATTAGTAGTACATTTATTCGTCATTCAAAGTTAGAAATCTACATTCAATGACATTGTTTTCTATTTACTGACGTCTCTGAGCGAGCTTGAGTGAAATGGTAAATCCACTTTAAGATAAATACACAGTGAATGAGGTTATAGTTAATACTCGATACACGAAATTATGTTTGATGTACACATTTGTTAAAAATGTTTTGGTTGTCTGATGCAACGTCCAAGTATAGCTAAATATTTCCTTATCTTAAGGTTGATGTTGATATGACTCATATAGAATGTTAACTTGAATCTGCATATATGTTAAGTGAAAATTCGAGATCCATGATTACAAAAAATATGATGAGAAAGATAATAGTGCAATTACAATTCGATCAAATATTTAGCGGAAAAATTAGGACGAATGCTAATTGAATAAACCATGCATTGGGGAAATTAATAATGATGTTTAACCAATAGTAATTAAATTAATACTAATACTGATACTAGTACTATTACTAATAATAATACAAAGATTTGCTAATAAAGATAACAGAGACAATTACATTTGACTACGAAAGGTCGTAAGTACAATAGCCAAATTAGGTCATTCAATAGCTAAGATTACTATTAATTAATTGGCCTTGAGGTTGACCAGGGGAGGAGGAGAGGTTAAATATATTTATTTTGTACACAGAACTCCGGTTTTTTTCATCTGGATGGCTACTACTTCAGCCGTTTGAAGGACAAGATTTGGCAAAAAATTATTGACTCTACAAATAATTGCAAAGAATTGGGTTACACTGGCATTATGATCAGTTTGTACTAAACGAGTTAATATCGAGCTGTTCACTTTCTTCACCAGACCTTTGCTTATCCGTACTGGGAGGTGTTAGCGAACATGAATATGTAAATTTCTAGAACTCCGACCAATATAACTTGCTCCATAGGAGCAGTCAAACTGATAAATACAAAATGAGGTGGTCATTCTAAGTAATTCATTTTTAGCTTCGGTGTCACTGTTGGGCGCGTAGGAAACATTAATCGTAGTTCTCCGGCATTGGAAGATTTTTGTATTGTTCTGAGTGATCTCTGAGTTGATATTTCACTAGCCGCATCGTCTCTGAAGTGTAGGCGCATGAACATGGATTTCTTATTCACCGTTTGCATTTTGCCTATTCTTACTTTCGTGATCATATATTTGGTTATAAAATTTCTAAGTAACGGTTCTCCCTAAGAGTATTATGCAAGGTGTTTGCCTCATCTTCAACTATATTCGTAGAACATATAGTGCGTATTCGGTAACTATGGGTTTTGATCAGGTTTAGTTTATACTGTAGAGGTACAAAGCTAAAGTAATGCGTATACTACTCAGTCCGGGTACTTTTATCTGCTCAAGTTCCGCTCTATTTGTCAAGAGGACGTCCAAAAAGGCTAATCGACCTATGGAGCCCTTTATTTTGTCGTCATTTAGATCGGACGATATTGTCGAAGGGTTCTCCACTTTAGTGGTTCGATCTCTGACTCCAAGTAGATTGCATAAATGATCCAAAGACATCATCTTTAGTCCCAAAGTATTTGCATCTTTGATTTTGTCAACAAATTGGAATACATCCTTAACAATATGTTTTACAAGTTTTTTGTGGAGTGGTTTCAATATAGTTACAAACCATTTAGCTATAATTTGGTAAGGAGAGTTATACATATCTAGAATATTTCCTAGTGGGATCCCCGGGTTGTCAACTTTTGGCAATCCATACAATCTTGGCAGATAGCTTCACGCTGGTTTAATTATTTCATATCAACCTAACGAAATAGTATATTCTTCGTGCAAATCTTAGTCTTTTAATATAATGGGGATCTTTAGGCGATTTCCTTATCTGTTCTTAAAGTGCCTTTCAAGTCATGTTTTCAGCATAACACTGAAACGTAATCATCCAATATAAGCTTCGGAAAATCGGTGAATAAACATGGTTTAATAAGGAAATAATGAAAACTACTTGAAATAGATAATATAGCTACCAAATCGCTTAGGTATGATAAGTAGATTAATCAGTATACAGAAAGCTCATAAACTCATGCTGTTTAATGAAAACGGCGATAAAGATGTATTATTCTTAATACTTCGTAGTTGAATTGCCGATGCAATCAAACATAACACAAATTTAATGCGTCTTATAAAATAAGAAATCAGTCCGATTAGAGTATATGGTGAGAGTGTCGAAAAACAATCAAGAGGTCAAATCTCTTTTTTGTGGAATATTGGACATAAAAATAAGGTTAGGGAGAATGTCATCTATCTTCCGGTTTTAGATGAATATTATTTGACTGTTCTGAAAATAACTAACTTCAAATAATCGGAAGTGAATATATTTTATTGATCAAAATATAAAACAGGATAATTATTTGTGCGTACACTACAATATAAAATACTCTTAAGCAAATTACCTATAAGATCTATAGCATGTAAAAATTCATGGGCAATAATCCAACCCAATCCATTGTATCTGGTGGATGAATCTTCATCCTTTTCATAAAATGGTGGTTGCATCAATCCGGCAAAAATATATATGCGGTTCAAATTTGCTAAATAGTAGGCCTCAGGTAAATAAGTTGGCGAATCACGTAGCGACCTAATTATTCAAAAATGAATGCAAACATCACATAATAAATATTGTAGCATCAAACCTCAGATTGATAATCAATTCATCATTATGTCTAAAACAATTAGTCCCTTTGATAAATTTCGATCATGAAATGAAAAGACCAAGTTTATCAGAACTATGTGATATATTTGCGCAATACATTAATATGTGTGATCGGATTGTTCAAAATGTATTGCTCAAATATATCACATAATTCTGATAAACATTGTCTTCTCATTGCATTATCGAAATGCATCAATATGTCTAAACACGTTAATAACACTCAATTACAACACTGAAATATCAAGTAGTCATGATAATTAACAAATGTAAACCATGATTATAATAACCTACTTTAGTGAATATAGTGTTATATACTTTTAGTCTTGTTCCTACTAACTGGTTGTTTAAAGTACCACTCATTAGTGTGAAATGTCCTATGATTGATACAAGCTACGAATTCACTGGTTACCAAATATAATCCATTACGTGCCTTTACATATCTAAGAGTTTGTTTTATTAGAAAGATGTTTGCATTATTATGTGGACTTTACATTGGTCCATCTTGAATAACAGAGATATTTTCATTACTTTCTATAATGATTCGTCAATCTTTGTTATTACAGAATAATAATGCAAGTGAATTTCCTATAATGAAATAGTACATTAACTAAAGACATGCTTAACACAGTATTAGGATTTGATGAATAATTGAATGTTCGTTAGCCAAAATTACTTCAGACATAAGTATTCAGAAAATCTGAGAATGAGTCATTTTGTCAGCTTTTAACTATCCATCAATAGCTGCATTAAATATGTTTGATGGATGTGAGTATAGTCACTTCAAGTGGGATTTCCTCACTAACATTCTTAATGCAATCTACATTGTTAATCAGTATTTGGTAATCTATGTTTCTAAGTTATTTGTTTTTGGGTGTTTTCCCACTACATTGTTAATACTTATTTGGATTGACCGGAGAAAATCACTTGTTTTCGTTTGCTAACTAGTAATTTTAACTCAAATTGCATTCTGAAAGTGAAGTTTTGTGGTTGTCATCAAAATTATTGGACGACCATGTTTAATCATCATTCGTTATGCGTCGGTGTTTTATTCACATGATTGTAAAACGATTGAGTTCACACTACGCAATTGATTTATAATGTGTAGGTCAAACGTCTTCATATTTACACTTGGACATACTATCTTCATGAAACAGCAGTATTTAGAAAGGTAAGCTAAGCGAAGAAATTTTCCTTTTTAATTAGTTCTTTATCAGATCTCTACACTGACAAACATGTTTTACAAATAAGTGAACAGTTGATACTAATTAGATGGTGGTGAATCAATTAACCAATACAATAATCACTTAGTTACACAACGTTTGGAAAATTAAAATTAAAACAAAAGCGAATTTCATAACCACTCAATTATTACAAGTAGTTACATAAGAGTAGGAACAAGACTCGAAATACAAATGTTTTCTGTTAACAATGAGATTAATGGTAAGCAATTAGTAGGATGAATTCAGTGGAAATTACATAATAAGATTACCAAATAGGTTACGTAAGATTAGAATTAGAAATCAAACTCTTAACAAAATAGATGTTTAGAAAATTTTAAAAGAGAATGAAAGGTTTTCAAACATGTATTATTTAAGTAGAAGATCAGGGTAGATTCAAGGGATGTATAACTTTTTTTCTGTGCACAAAGGTTAGGATTTTCTCTGTGTATTTCTATGGCTTCTGCTATAAGAAGGATTTACTGTAAGAGTCGGGTTCTCAAACCATAGGGTAAATCAGGTGGGATTCTATAAATAATTCTAAACGCTGAACTTTTATCTATATGGTGGGTGGGCGAGGAAAGTAGCGATTGGTTGTTTACATAGACAGACTAGTAGATGGTCTGACAGCTATTAGATGTGTTTTATGTTTTCCTACCCGTTTTCTTTTGCTTAATATTATTATCGGTTGTTGACGTCGGAATATGCTCACGGTGTAGTCAAGCCAATCACCTATTCTTGATTAGAGTTGTGTTGATGTCCTGTAGAAAAGACACTGGCAGGGTATCTAGTGTAAATTTGCATGTAAGACAAATCAGTTTCCATTGATTTTAAGGTGAAGAGTGAGCGCTATTTCACTATTTGGTGATCATTGTCAACTAGATGCATCAATATAGATACCCTTCTTGATTTATGGCCAAAATACAAACAAAGTTATAAGCCACATAATGTTGAATACAAAAATAATGGCTTACATTTTAGCAAATTTTTTAATGCTTCTTCTTAATTTCTCTGAATATATGGATTTCTGTGCATAATACTCATTTAAAATATGATCTTCAGCATTTATAGGATACTGAAATTTAAGAGTTGGAATGAGGATGATGGATTTACGTAGAAAAATTAAGTGAACTAAGTGAAGAACTCGATTTATCGAATGCCATTTAAATTTAGACTGGTGTAATTTATCTTCAGAAAGATATGATAGCGTGTACACGGGTGTGTTTAATATTAATTTGATTACCATTACCAACTGATGTCATCTAGAAAGCCACTGAACCATGGAACCAAATCTACAAAAAACTAACAATAAGCCCTCGTTTCTGGTGTGCACGTGGAAAGTTGTAAATATGCGACAAACCATTTGTTGTGTTATGTAATAAGGCATGCATTATTTCACAGTAGTGTAAAGAGACGAATAAATCAGCTTTAAATGTGTTCCGGTATCACAAAGTTGTAAACACAGCCGTTTAACGTGTACACAGTAAGATTAATAATTATCCTAATCAAAGGATTGTTTCGTTTTCATCAAACTCACTCCGTATATTGATGAAAGATCTTCTCTTTTTTCTGATCCATTCACATTCGAATATAAAATGAAAGCCTTGGTTTGATTAATCTAAAACATTTATTAAATTGTTACAAATTAAGCTAACCTTGTCCTTGAAAAAGTGTTTTGTACTGTCATCTAACCATGTGGCTTGCGTGACTGATTCAAATATGGAGCTTCTCACTTCCTCAACTAGTTGTTGAACCTTTAATTGAAAAATAAAAACCGAGTTGAGAATTGGGTCTCATATGAGGTACTTCAATTTTTACTACAAATATATTTTGATTTCAGTAAGCACTTATCCCAGTTAAGGTTTATACTGGTCTGTTCATTCAGCATCTAATGCTTAACTCTTACTTACACCTGTTAACCCTCGTGGAGGAACTTAGGCCGTCCACTAGTTTGCTCCATTGAACTCGAACCTGAGCGATTCTGTCCAGGTGTTTCCAGTTGTTATTCATCCCTTTGATACCTGCTTCCGATTCCGGATACAGTGTGTCAATAACTCTTCCTCTTTTCCGTTTTCCCTCAGAATTCCAAGTTAGCGATTGCCTCGTGATGCAGTTTGATGATTTTCACAATGTACGCACTAACCACATTCAACATCTTTTCCCAATTTCTTTTTCAGCAGGAAGCTGGTTTGTTCTCACCGAAATTAAACTGTTGCTGATGATATCCGGTCGACGGACATTCAGTACCTTGTGTAGACGACTGTTTACAAATACTTGTACCTTTTTGATGATGGTTGTAGTAAATCTCGACGTTGTGACTCTTTACAGTAGAACTGTATTGACGTTTGTATTGAAGCTTCTAACTATCACATCGGCTGACGGTTGTGTTGAGTTCTGTATGTTTTTCAGTTATAGAAATGCTGCCCTTGCTTTGCCAATTCACACCTTAACGCCTGCATCGGATTCTCCTTGTTCATCGATTATGCTATCTAGATACGTGAAAGTTTCACCTCTTCCAAAGCTTCCCCATCGAGTGTAATTGAGCTGGTGTTCTCTGTGTTGTAATTCAGGATCTTGCTTATTCTCTATGTCTACTGAGGCCTAATGCTGCAGAGACTGCTTCTACATTGGTTGGCTACACCAGCATTCGTTGGTATGTACGGAATGGACGAGCTGGTTTGTCGGCGAGGTCAAATTGTCCAAGAGTATCCATGCTGTTGATTGTATTTTGTGCTTCCTCTGAGATGTAGAGGTCTTTGTAATCCAGTTAACCAGCTGTAAGTCCCCAACACTACGTCACTTTTAGACGTTTTTTGAATGGATTTCAAAATTGTATTTGTCGTTAATAAAACTAGCATGTATACTCTCAATCAATGTCAAATGAACAACAGTAGCTGACTTTATCCAAAATGTTCACTATTCACACCATGAAATATCTGTTTATGTTAATAACCTGACTTGAGTTGTATGGTATCTTTTCAGTACTATGTAGTTGTCTGACAATCGCTTCTGAAATATCTCTCACTGAGTTTGTGGTTACTGCTTTCAGTGATTACTTCAACTTGAGAATCCGTATTGAACATATACATGACTATCTGTTTTGAACATGTAAATGAGTATCAGCATTGAACGGCAATTTGTGTTGCTTGCTGCTGTTAAACTCAGAAATCGTTGACTGAAATTTTACTGAATATCAGTTACAGATCATAGTGTAGCACAGCCGGTCACGTGTGGTTGGTTTGTAGTTATGTGCTTAATATGGAATATTAAATTAAAATTTACGGTGATAGGACGACTGTTTGACAAGCTGAACAAACCTCATTTCTGTGGTTTTGAGTGATGCGAGAAGTCAGGAAATGCTTTTCAAGTGTCCATGGAAATACGGTCTTTACTCGATCCATACAATAAGGTGAGAAGTATGTGGTATTTTCTAATCAAAACACAAAATATTGGAAAGCATTTTGTTAAGGAGATAAATGGAAAGTTTATCGATTTTGTAGTAAGTTGTTTTAAAAATGTGCAAATGATGTGTACGGTAATGAATTTACTAACTGAATTAAATCATGCAACTATAGAGTGATTCATCATATAACGGTGCAACTTGGCTCATAATAAAGATTTGATAATATTATATTCTTTATGTACCATTCATCATAATGGTGTATTTTATTAACAGTCTATAGAATCTTCATCTTAATTCAACTTAAAAGCAGATCCGATTGAAGAGAGAACGCATTTCGTCTATTTGACTATCTACTACAGGACTAATTCTTGAGGACATTGTTAAAGCATGGCGCGCTCATTCGTGAACATGCATCAAACTAGACATAATTGTTAAAGATGCTGATAATACGTTTGATCAATAGATTTTAACAAAATAACAATAATTATATAACATTTTTCAATTCACTTGGATTTGATTGATGTACGAAATCAAAATTTTTCTGATTTAGTAAACGATGTTTTTGTTCCGCCACAAAATTCAAAATAGCCAGGTTGTAGAGAGCACTTGGATCATTGAAAAATGAAACAAAGTAAAACAATTATTATTGTTTGATTATCATATTATATAGTCTGCCACAAACTTTAATAACAATCAGTTTTATGAAAAGAACAATATAACTAAATTCACTTCTTCCGGTTTCATTCTCTACCATATCTCAACATAATTCCAAATGTTAGAAATGGATGAGAGAATTGGTGGTTCAAATAAATGTTTTTTGTTTGAGAAAATTTGTGTTGTTTGAAAATTTGTTTGTGGAGATTTCATTGTTACTTTACTAATATTATATGTAAAATTTTTAAATTCACTCCATAATTAGTAAATAATTCGATTTCTGAGGAGCTAATATTCCATCTCATATACTTGCCGGGTTTTAATACCTTTAAATGGTTCGCATTTCTGTTGACTGTTTTATTCGGTTGAGTTCAGACCATGTGATTAGATGATCTAGTTCTCATGGATTTATATCCGTAGATATAAATTGGACTCGAGAAACATTTGTTTCAGTTAGCGTCACTGTATACCAGGAGTCATTGAACAACTGCTTTAGTCTAACATGGACTGGTGAACAAAAAGACCGATGACCATAACAGTGATGAAAACCGGAACATCCGAATTTCGCCAAAGATCCCCGACCATTAGAACAAATGGAATGATCCCTGATGACTGTCATTTCAAATGTACACGGATGAAGTGTTCGATACCACAACGAAACATTTATCAAGTTATCCTTATTATTCAGTGGTACTTCAAACGAGAACGATTCCTGACGAACACAGCCTACAAATAAAATAATTTACCCAAAACCACTTCGAATAATCTACCCAGTTATATTTAAAACGCCACTTCAGAAACATATTAAACGGCTTAACGTATAGCCCATTCAAAATAAAACCAGTAAATTAATTTATGCAAACAATTCAAGTACTTAGAATGCTTGTTTAATCCTCAATATATGCAGACTTTATGCACTGTTATAGAATTTTCATTATTCTATGTCAAGCTACAAAGATATTTACATTAAATAATCTGAGATTCTCAAGGAAGATCAGTTGATCCATTACTGTTTGACGCATCTTGTATAGGAAATAAAACATTCTCTCAGAACATGACATATTTTACATTGCACTACTGACGAAGACATTATCTTTGGAAATTTCAAATTAAAAAGATTTTAATCGTTTGTTTACAAGTGATCATCCAGCGTTGTCATACTTGATCACTAGTACTGTCTTTTAATTACTTCGAAAGCAAATAGTCAAACAAAAATTCAATTTCAGTAATCACCTTTTGTCTTCAGCTGTTTCCAATTGAATTTGATGGAATGCACAATAATATTGTAATGAAAGTTTTTCTTCAACCTTTACTGGTAATTTATGGTAGTTTCTAAATCCGGTTTGATTGAACAATTTGTTAAACAAATAATCCCAATCGATCTAAACAGACGGTTTTGTAAATTTTCAGAATATACTTTCAACAAAGGGTTCCATTTCGTCATTATGTTTGTATCAATGAAAAAATTTGACAATACCTACCCACTTAGATGATGTAAAATATGTCTGATATTCGTAAAGCAGCATTACTGAATTAGTATTCGAGTCAGTAGAATGGTGAAATCGTCTACTTAACTAATATTCTAGACTTTTGTTAAATTTTATGTTAGGTCCCACTGCTGTTGATATGGAATTCTATAGATCAAGTTGTAATGCGGCCACCAGTCCAGGTGACTTGACAGCGTGTGCACCATATTGAAATGTAAGCTCGTTTGACGTTAGTTTAGAAAATGTGAAGCATGGTTTAACTGGTATAAGTCTAGTTGATATGGGAAAACATTTATATATCTCTATATCACAAAGACATTCAGTTTGATTCGGTGTCGTCGAATAGTCTATCAAAATGACTGGTTTTTAACCTTTTCTCTTGCGGTTTCTAAGCATCAAGAGATGTTTGTTTATTTCCTTTTAATACATATACAGTTTAAAACGATGCAAATGAATTTACCGGTGGACAAATGGCCTTCAGTTCATCCATGCTAACAGTTTGGTTTGTTTTATATGTAGAGGATGTTTGTGGGTCCAAGAGAGCCTGAAAAACAAAACCAACGCAATGATTAAACACGTGAAAATAACCAAACTCTAATTTGTGTATGATAGAAAGCAGAAAATGCAATTATTGATGAAATAAGAATTTTGTAAAGCATGGAAACAGAATTTCTCAACTAATGAGTTTTAAATATCTTGTTTAAGTGATATTAAATAACTTATAGTAGAGTCAATAGTGCACTGGTTGCATTTTCAACTGCTTTTGATTAACATGTAGGTAAGTTGAAATAGGTTTTCATATCTAGTGTATGAATAATTCTGTCAGGACATTTCAAGAGACCTCGGTTGTTATATAAAGAAACTGAATGTGATATTTTAATATTTTTACATCGATTCCATGGAGTGAGTTTCCCTTAAGTAAGTGATTTTCTTGCACCTACTGCAAATGGAATAATTTTTGAAAGATATTTTTTATTGCTGTTATGAGAGCCAACCAGTGAACCGTTTTATTCGAAACGATGAAAACCTATGAAATGCATTTGTTCGAGCAATTAGTTTTATCATCGCTAATATCACTTTCTTGTGAGCGGATCATTCACTGATTGATTAACTCAATATGAGTTTTACTCATCATTACATCCATTTTGATTCAATGTAATGATTACGCAATGTAGTATTTGTTTTCTTTTCTCGTATGATATTTTATTCTGTATAATATACAATATTCTTGTATTCCATTGATCTGAACTATGCTCAGTATGTGATATTTTATAACTGAGTATTTTTCATATATGTGATATCATCCTAATTATTAATCAAAATGGGTGTTCAATCAATATATAAATGAGTGTATTTTCTACTAGAATGATCAATCATCATCATTATAATCGTCGTGTTTTGAGGCTAACAAATCTTCACTTATACCAGAATTTGTGTTCTTACTTTCCGTCGTTAGAATTGCAGAGATCCCTCGTTCCAAGTACGAGTGATCAGCGTTTTTTCCGGCACAGCAATTAGCGACGACCAGATATAACACAAAGTCAGGCGAAACATAAATCTCAGGGTTTGGTGATTACGTATACTCAGTAGTCAGTGTACTGTCAGGTGGATGAGGGGATAATTTACTGAGCGGAATGACTACTGCTGATGAACCTTAGTAGATTTGAGGTCAGCATGATATCTGTTCACTTTTCAAGTAGTGTATACGTTTCGGTATGCCAATATCGAACCTAGTACATTCAAGTTTATTGGTGAGTAGGTCATGTTCATAGTAATGAGTTCGGTCTACGCTCCAAACTTTCAAGAATCATTTACTGTTCAGTCATCATTTATTTTCGTTAGTAACAACTGTCTGATTGAGATAATACAATTTTCAGTTCACTGTCATATATTGTGTTTAGTGAATAAAGAACTCATAACTTGTCATCAATTTATATTTCTGTGTGATACATGAAATTCATGTGAAATGCATAACTTACAACATGTAATATTCAGCATCATTTATTAGAAAGTAAGTCATAACAAGCATTAAGCAACTCACATTAAGTAGACGGTCAAATAAATTAAAAGTAGCAACAAGTTTTGTGTACTGTGACACATCCAGATTTAGTGAATTAACTGACATATAAAACAAAGTCTTCAGGTTTAGCACTCCATTCTATTTGAAAGAAGAAATGTAACATATTATGTTATGAAAAGAGGATACAAGGTAAAGGTGATAATCAAAACACTATCGATCTTTGATGACACATCTGTAATACATAACTGATCTTTCACGCTTATCATGACAACTATAATTTCTGAAAATTTCGATTGTTGTATGTATATAACTGCCTAATAATTATAAGCTTGAAATAAAGAATCAGTTCTATGTAAAAATCTTGTTCAGAGTGGCTACATCTGTTTTATCCGAATAAATAAGCGTGTTATCAAATTCAATCAGTATTGTATCACCCAGTTAAACCTTATCTTACACTCGAAAGTGAATATGGTACTGATACTATCTAATGTAAAGTACTTTGTTTCGTGTGATTTTGTACATTAAGAGTTGTATGCTTTGGTTCTGTAGCTCTTATGATCTTTATGGATAACATCATCACCATCTATTTCGGACAGAAATTCAATGAAATAGATGATTTAAAACTTATTACACTTAAAACCAACTAAAAGATCTCATTGCTTGTGGGCGATTGTTTTTGTAGATTCTGTTTATCACCTGTGCTTTTGGATTACATTGAACAGTATTTTTGGACTGATGTTAGACTATGCGACAGGTTGAACATTTTCCTATAAACTGAATTATTGAATCCATTGTTCTCATTCTACCCAAAATATCACTCTATTACAACTCTCTGACATTCTTAGGAGGTTTCCGTAGTTGTATGTCTGCTTTCATAATAGTGATAGCAAGTAGTGCCATTTCACAGCTTGTTTACTCTTCTACAAGTACATGTACTAGCGGCATCCACTTTGTCTGATGCGCTTCATCTCACAGTTGTTGCAACTTATTTTGTAGCTGACATTTAATTTATCAACTTCACTTCTCTATCGTTTAGGTCTGTGTAAAATCATATGAAGTATGTTGAGTTGTTAGTGACTCTGCGTCGGGTGATTTCTAGAATACTTTAACCGGAATGACGTAAACTGATTTGAGATTTTGGAGGTGACCTGGTTTTCATTGTGCCAAATATATTTTTTGTCTGTTTGTAATAACTAAGATCGTCTTAATTTAATTAAAGAATTTTCCGCTCTCTGAATATTTAACTTGCACTAAGTATCAAATCGTCAGAAATTCAATTTTCTACTCAGTGTGAAATTGCAAACATGCTATTTGAATATCGTAAAATAACCTGTGTTACGATTTGCGAATTTCTGTAAACGGAAATATAGTACACTCAGATTATTGACATTCAGTTAATGTGTTTCGTGAATGGTAATAAATAATACAATGGACAACGAATTATGTTCCGGATGAGTAAGTTTAAAATTGAGTGACTAATATAATCTGCGAATTACCTCCATCTTCATGAGACTTGGATCTGAAGTTAGCTGACCTGGATAGATCTGATAGAAGTAGAATTATATTCAAAATTCATACAGATTGATAAAATTGTAACACTAAGGAAACATTTGAGTTTATCAACATTCAAAATATAGTGAAACACATGGAGAAACACAGTTCCAAAAAAACATTTGGAAGGAGACTGGGAAAGTGAAAGTATACAGTATTATGATTAGCATTTATCATATAACAAAACTTTCAGCCTAAAATACTCAAAAGTCTGACTGGTTTTGATAGTCGGGTATAAATTTAATGGATATTTGCATAAACTACCTATTTCTCAAATGTTTTGCTCTGTGGCATTTCCAAATCATGGGAATTTTGAAATTGTTATATGTGAAATAGTGGTAAACTAGATAATGGTCAACTTGTTAATAGTATAAAGTGTATTCTCGGAAGATGTTTTGGTAGTAGGGAATGAAATTAACGATATATTCCATGGTAAGTTTCTAATTAAAAAGACGATTTATCCATCCATGTTCTAAGATGATATCTACTTTATTCGTTACAAATAAATAACGAAAGGCATTTTTAATCGACTACTTGATTCTAAATTGTTTGTTTGATCCAAGTTTTTGAATTAAACAACCAGACATAGACTCAGTTTACTGCGGAGTAATTCATAAGAACTATTAGTTACAGCGAGAAACGCCTAATTACGTCTTCCTTGTACAAAACTATTACTTCACTTTTTATGTTCGCTATTATAAAGTGTAAATAAAAAATTACACTGTTATACTGGAGTACTACACGCTTCCCTTACAACTGAAATATTAACACTAAATGATTGGATTGTTAATCACTATGATGAATTTTTACTTAATAGTGTTGATTAAATGAACGGTAAGGTAATCAACAACGGTGAATCGACATCTCGCACATTATGTTTTGATGTTATGTTGTTGGAAATGACCAGCATGATGCCGTATACCTTGTGTTAGTTGATACATATCACTAAGCATTTTAGCTTTCACGACATCAGTGATTTTCTTTTTAAAGTTCAGACTAGTATATTACGATGAAATTTTGCAAGAAAACCTGGAGATTCATAGTTCATGGTTTGCTCATCTCAATTATGTTTCATGATTTGTAGTCAGATAATATGTTTTATCAGGTTACCATGGTATGATTTTTCGTTTTAGTAATACAGTCATACAATTGGATTGTTAAATTAAGGATGATGAGATTTGTTTTTCGTTAACATGTCACTGGCAGAAGCAATCAATGACAATCAAGTTCGCAACACCCATTGAAAATTGATACACTGTTTTTTAAATAATCACTTACTATTGGTTACAGTATCCTCATAAACGGCAAACCTCATACAATTTCATGTTCAAGTTATGTAATCCGGGAAACTAATCTGATAATTTAGCACTCGTGTTTCTAAATAATCAGACTATTCTGTTTAGTTTATATAGATAATCTACTGTAGTGTTGTTTCGCTTTTCGCTGTGACTTCATTCCATTACTGATTGACTTTTATGGCTAAATGATCGCAGTGTCCTTAATATTCAGCCGGAATACTATGAAAAGTATTTATTATATTGGTCAGTTAGATGGTGTTTAAGTGTGTTATTTATTTATTACAGTCTAACTGCTATCCATATATATTATGAAATCAACTTACTCGAATTGCTCTATCCTTTTCATTGATATCCAATGAAAACAAGGGTGAATGCCCTGTTGCGCTTAACAGTGGTAGGTATATATCAGTCAGACTCAAATTTAGAATATTTCTAGCACCGTCAGATGCATTTGTCCTATTTGTTGAAGGTGATGTCAATAATTCCCATTCACCAAATGACATTAAAATTAACTGACGTAATTGATTTCCAACATTATCGGCGGAATCATAAGGACCTTTTAAACAAGCTTCGTAAAATTTGCGAGCAGTAAACAGGTATGGATCATCCCAGGAATATGACTTGTTAGCTTGATTTGTAAAAGTTGATGTTTGTGAAAATTATGATTAAGGAGTGAAGTAATGAAATGAATTTACAAACCACATGAATAGAGACAATCTGGAACAAGTTACTCATAATATAAGTGAACATAATATATCCATTGAGACATAAGATAAGAAAGATTGGTTCGACGAATTCATTTTCAAAACTCTTCAATCGCAAATGTGTACTTATTTTTCAAGGTGATAATAATTATAGTAATAGTGACAATAAAATTATGTTAAATATGGTAACAGTGAGATAGAATAAACAAGGGTATAAAAACGTTATTTTTATTAGGGGAGACAAATAATAGTTTTATTGTTAAGGGCTTGAATATTTATTATGGTGATGGATAGAGAAATTATAATTTGGAAAGAAAGAATCAGCATGATAAGATAATATTGTTGTTCATTCTACCTCACTGTTACCATGTTTAACAGAACATTAATACCACTATTATTATAATTATTATCATTTTGAAAAGTAAGCACACATTTGCAATTGTACAGCTTTGAAAATGAATTCGCCAAAAACAGAAGTTTTCGTTGAACCAATCTTCCTTAACTTATAGCCTAGTCATGTTCATACAATTGTACGCCTAACAATCCTATTTATATTAAACTTATTCAATTAGTGTTGAATGAGAATTCTAGATCACATGCTAAAAGTAATTGTGTATGAAAAGCGATTTAGAGAACATATATATATTCGTTAGAAAGCATATAAAATTATGCAATTTGATTATGACTAATTTTATTCGTCTAATTTATCATACTCTTTTACGAATGTCCGAATTAGGTATACAGTACTCGCTGATTTTAAACAAGTGTCTGTCACAATTCGGTTCTAGAAGTAAACTCGTTAAATTCATATTCAGTTAAAAAAATCCTCCATTACTCTTTAGGTAAATCTCGGCTACCTGAAGTGTTTAGTTTCATTTCACCAACTTACATGATATCATTTTATATGAAAATAGTAAGAGAATATAAATAAATACAACCATATCATATTGTTAGTAATATGGAAATACTTGCCAATGACATTATAGAAGTAATGGTCAGTGGTTATTCCGGCTTTTTTGAAAGTGTTAATCTCCCCTTTATTATTCGGTATTGGATTCTTTTTCACCCACTCTCTGCATGCATAACGATAAAAATTATCACATGGATCCATAGTATGCAAACCGGTGGTTGCATTCTGACTTGTAGTCTCAGACAGTGCTCTTCCTGTCAGAAAACGAAATAACGTCTTAACAGATTGAATAAAAAGATTACATTATTACACAAACGTATATAAACGTTAGTCTATCTACGCACAAATTGAATCTATCACCTTAGCTCACAAAATAAAATCGGCACAATGGTTTGTATTGTCCTGTTGTTGGCATCTCGACTAAATCTTGGTCAGTGTTAGTTGGGATATGTGGATCCGATGCTGAATGCCTCGATATAGGCAATATTCCACATGTTTATGTAGAGATTGAATGCGAATGACAGCGTAATCGAGGACGCGTGTTTTGGATCCTACTGTTAGTCACAGTTCATAATATATATAAAAAGATATTTTTGCGACATCATACAGGTCATCGTAATCTTTTTGATCTGGGTTTTTCAGGTGGTTATGTTTATTCATTACCAGTTTCACTCTATTCACATGTACAGATACAAAACTGTCAATCTATTGTAAAATAAAAGTGAATTATTTATTCAAAATCCCATAATAATGAGCAATCTCAATACTAAAAAAATTGAAGAAATTTGAGACAATTTATATTTAACCTCAAAGTCGGTGTTTCGATTACATCGTCTTCCATACACATGACATATCCTCTACGTTGACAGTCCATTTTCCAACTGGTCTAGGCATTTTAGAGAATTAGTTAAGGTTTCATGTTCTAAGTCACACTGTTGTCACAGTTTATACCATATAAAGAAATATTTTTTGACAAATTTTGTTATAATTCTGATTTTTATTTCAACCAGATATAAAGGGGTCGTGAAAACTCAGTAGAAAATGCACATTTGTCAAATTATGACCCATTGTCATTTATAATTAATGGAGACTCTACATATATTTCTCCAACTAAATCTAAGTCTGTCTTTTCATTTTTAAACGGATTATTATTTTTATACCATTAGTCGATTGTTGCATTACTAGAGACAAGTTCATAGCCGTCTTGATCCACTTTTACGGTTCACAAACTGTCTTACGACGACATAATAAACTATCGAACTTTATCGACGATTATGATATTCCAAATACAATCTCTTCTTGACTGGAATGTACAGCCAAAAACATTAAAAAAATATTACACAATGTGTACTTGTGTTATTTGCTGATGAATGCTACATTATGAATGTCGGACATTAAAACAGACTGGGACAGTTCACTCCCAAATCAGTTAAATGATGTAATTATCTATTGTAGGTTGTCAGTGAAATATGGAATTTTATTAGTTAGCGTTTACTTTTTCATTATCAACTAAGATACCACATATGATCGACAAGTGAATGTATTCACTTGATTTCTTATGACACCAAGGGGCTTATCCATTGACCATTTGATATCTCACTAATTACCTTCATGTCATCGAGGCAATTGTTGCAAAATAACAGAAACTTTAGCGCTGGTTTAACTGGAGTGGATACAAACTGGGGGGATATAAATTCTTGTTACACACCATTAATGCACATATGTCATACAAATATGATAAATCTGTAGCATACAAAATCTAGTTTTTTTTAAACTAATCCCCATAACGAGTTACACCACATAGAAATAAAATAAATATGTCAAAATCTATAATACGATTTTGCTAGTGGGCACACGTACACAGGTTTGTGTTATGAGACTGCAATATTAATGTCAAGCAGTACAAGTTATATGAAATATCATTTATGATTATCTTGTTTGGAGAACATAAATTCACAAAATCTTGTGACATTCTACAAGTCCATTGTTTTGCTTTTCCACTTGTTTAATGCTTAAGTACCTACCCAAAAACGAATAAGAAATCAGAGAGAAAACAACAAGTATTGGAAACCTCGATTGCAATGACTGGAAAAGTATTCTGTTCATATAACAGACTATATTACGCTAAACAATTAAGTGAGATTAAAATTCACCGTTATGTCTTGATTACAATCAATTATAATTTATGTCATAAATGTGAGACGTATTTGGATGTACATAGAATATAGTTCATTGTAATGCTCGAAAACTGTTTGAAATACCCAGCAGTAACGAAAATACTAGAACATTATATTCAGTGAGCCTCAAAACTCCACAATTATTTAAATATTGTTGCATCTTGTTCCCTATCAAAAACAATTATATTTATTGACTATACTTTGGTATTTTATGTTTCGTTTTCGTCTATACAGCTAACGTCACATGTCTACGTTTGTTTTATTCAATTAGTTAGGAATAATAAAAAAAAATTTCATATTTTCAAAATAAACTTATACTATCCATATGAATCGTTCTTTCTAAAGTCATCTATCTATTACCTCGTTTTACATAACAAGTCACCGAACAATTCAATTTTATAAAGAACATCTAAACATACTTTCATCCTAATTATGTTTGGTGAAACGATAGCATGAACGTAAGTTTTTGCATATTCTGTGTTCAAAAACATTCTTATATATGCCGATTGCAGACAACAAACATTTTACAAGAATTAACTTGCGATTCAATTAACAATAACTCAACATGCATTTTCATCGAGTTTTTATTTATCACAGTGTATATTGTCAATGCTGTGGTAGATTACATAATATCGTTATTATTATTCAGTGCATTACAACATGAATTTCAAGATAATGAGGATGGTATTTATGATTCATGACTGTAAAGAAAGTATTGAAATACGCTAAATCTTGAAACAGTTATTCGCAAAAAATTAATTTATGCATAAAACCATACTAATGAAAATTACATGAAATTTTGATTTATGAAATTTGCAAGGGAATGAAAAGTAACACAATTTACCATGACAACAGCTGAAGACAAGGTGGATCATCACTGAAATTGATGTGATTATTAAGATTAACTGAACTTGTTTAACTTTACCATATTGTATAGCGGTTTTCGCTGTAAAGTATCGTTGATCAGTAGACATACTGTCTTGTGTAAAGTATTGTAGAATATTTTTTTCTGTTGACAGTTATTCTTCTTATTAAAAATGGAACAACTGTCACTGAATATATACTAATTTACAAATTAAATTTCATAAAAAATTGGCTGATAATGATAATTATTATATTAACTTTTGTTAACAACAAAGGTGATCTTATTAGGTCAAACGAAAGCGAAGTTATGCAATATAGTTAGTTGTACCCTGGATAACGTTTTTTAAAATTTAAAGTTAATTAAACTTAACATTCAGAAATCATTTATAAGTTTATGTTAAATACAACTATTTCTCAATTATATTCGAAAAATATAACACCATTACTTTTATTGGATCTTGATGAGTTTAGGAATTATAGGAAACTCTTAGGTGTCATATTTTTTTCTGTGTAACGGTTATAGACGAAAATATCTTCATGAAATAATTTTAAATGTGAAGAAACGAGATATTATATTAATTTCATGTTGACTACGTGCTTCCTTCAGCAATTCTATCCGATATAAAATGGACTCGATTTTTCTGGATAATTCATTTGATTCATATGTGTGCTGGTTTTAGTTCTTTAGTCTTCTTGCTCTCCTTCTTCTGACATATCTTGTCAATCCCCGTCGCCACTGATATGTCTTGTTGTTTGGATGCTATTTGTTATGTCTGGTGGTCGTTGATTGTTGTGTCGTGAACACTTATCACTTATACTCGAAACGAGGGACCTATGCAATTCCCACGACGCGAAAGTAAGAACACAAAGACTGGCATAAGTGAAGATTTATTAACCCAGAAAACATGATGACGACGACGACCCTAGTTGAAAATACACTCATTTGTATATTGATTGTACGCACATTTTGATTAGTATTTAGGATGAATCCACATAAATAAAAAATAGTTATAGTTATAACATATCACATACTGAGCATAGTTCATGTTAATTGAATACACGATAATCTTATGTCATACAGAATAAAAAATCATACGGGAAAACAAAACCGAATGCTACACTGAATAATCATCACATTGAAACAAAACAGAAGTAACGTTGAACAAAACTCATAATGAGTAAATCAATCGAATTTTGACTTTTCTTCCCGTCATATGATATTCCAAGTTAGGACTTGCCTTGTTTTACAGTTTGATGATTTCTCCAATGTGTCCCCTTAAATTTCAGCTTCTTTCCCTGATTTCCACTTCATCTGGAAGCTGGTTTGTTCTTTACCAAGGTACGTTATTGTTGATTGTCTGGCCAACGGATATACAGTATTTTGCATAAACAACTTCTTATAATTACCTGTACCTTATTGATGATGGTTGCAGGAGTTGCCCGGCTCTCAGCTCCATACAACAAAACTGTCTAGACGTTTGCATTGAAAACTCTAAGTTTAAAGTTGTGTGATAGTTGTTTTGATTTCCAGATATTCTTCAATTTAAGGTAGCTGTCCTTGCTTTTTGAATCACTGCGTTCACATCTTCATCAGATTGTGTTTGTTTGTTAACAATACTGTCCAAGTATTATGTTGAAAGCTATTCATGATACTGGAAGTAGTGTGGTGCCTCTGTCGTCCTCACACTTGACAAGAACTCCTTTCCTTGGTATCATGACGAGGTATCCGTCATTCCAGTCTGTAAATGCCATATGAGTTGGTAAAGCCGATTGGCATATTTGGACACTCATTGATGACACGGCACAACTGAAGGGGCTCAATGGTTGTTTTTGTCTTAATCTTATTTTTTATGATTTCAGATGCAATCAATGCAGACCATTTATGAACCACATTGCAATGGTTAATTGTAACTTTCCATGTTGATGATTCCTTTTTACATTCTCCATA